AATAAACGAAATCCGGTAGAAGATTGTGTGCTGTGTTCTGCCGAACTAATTGATGGATGTCTAAAATATAAAAATAGAAGAAGCCTAAAACAAGCCCGATGCCCGGCCCGCGTCTTAACTATGAAGTGAAAATGGTCCCGAAGCCTGGCCCTAGGGGCGTAAAAAATAAGTTTGTCCGTTTTGTTGGGTAGAGAGCGGAGATTCGCCATATGGATGCTCGGCAACGACCCCCATCTGCGCGTCCTGAAGCGCTTGATCAGCGCAGCAGCTCCGCCGAATACAATGTTCAGCAAAACGTCCGAATAAACAAAATCCGGGTAGAAGATTGTGTGCTGTGTTCTGCCGAATGTTCAGCAGCTCATCCCTGGTAAAACTGATCGTGTTTGAGAAACAAAAAACAGGAAAAACTAACAAAAACAGTACAAACACTGGAGAGCCAAACACTGAGGCTGCCATCTGCGGCGCCATCGCATGTATCACAGACATGATAAATACATCTATAGAAAGCTTTAAATTATTACTTATTACACATCAGTATGTACACTGAGTTTATAAGCATTGACTGTCACAATTTATGACCGCCACCTTTTTGCTCCACCATCACTGACACAAATTTAAAGACTTAGAACTTTGTGCGGTGTTCAAGGTCCCATTCAATCACATTGTGTCAAAAAATGTATGAGGACTATGCACAACTAATGAAAACTGCTCAAAGTATTTATTTGATTTTATTAATAAATACATATATATAGAATTATATAAAAACAGAAGAAAAACTGAAAAGATTAAATACAAATTGTGTTTAATCCTACAGTCAGTGCAGCGCCTTTCATTTAAAAAACTACTTCCCATGATGCAAATGTTGATGAATTGTATTTTCACTTTCACATTCATTGATACGAATGCTCAGCTTAGCCATAACCGGATTCATTTTTTGAAGACAACGAGGATTTTAACTGAAAAGCATAGTTTGTAAGTATTCTGTGATGTAAAGATAAACTTGAACTTTATCTCCTGCACTAGACAATACGTTTGGTTAAGCGTATAGCATGCGCACTGCGCAGTGCCTTTTCAGTTTTCATCGTACACGGCCATCACCGAATGTAGAATGTTATTAATATTACAACTAATTTTAGCGAAAGATTATTTCCAACCCTAAATGCTATGCCTATCGCATCCGCCGTATCCGTTCTTTTGAGTCGGATCTTTTCAATAAATCGATTGAATCGGTTCACAAAAGCGGTCCTCAACGGTCTTTAGAAATGAAACTTCTACACGAGGCGATATGCAGCGTCATTGTTCGACACTTTCTCAGTAAATTACTTTTAAACAAATGCGAAAACAGAACTCGTTGAAAATAATCAATCTTTTGCTGAGCTTATATTGTATTATCAGAGCTAATACGTTTTTCCCTTTTACAGTGTTCCCAAGTAGTACTGGGCAGCCATGACTCGCTTTGTTCTGCTTGTGAATCTCATAGTTCTGCCTGTTCACCTTTGGGCTGCAGTCACTCAAGAGCACACTTCATTCCCCACATCAGTCAATGGAGAACCATTCCCATGGAACAAAATGAGACTTCCAGACACAGTATCTCCCCTTCATTACCATCTCCTTGTGCACCCCAATCTTACAAGTTTAGACTTTACTGGATGGGTGCAGATCCAAATTGAGGTCCATGAAAACACCAGGACTATCATACTGCACAGCAAGGATCTTCATATCTCCAATGCAAGGTTGCTAGGTTCAGACAAAGGTCAGCTACAGGCCCTGAAGGTGCTAGAGTACCCATACTTCCAGCAGATTGCGCTTATATCTGATAATGCACTGCTGAAGAGGGGCCATGTATATTCAGTTGAACTGGAGTTTGCCGCCAACCTCTCTGAAAGCTTTCATGGATTTTACAAAAGCACGTACCGCAGCAACAAAGGAGACGTCAGGTGAGAAACTAAGTAAAAACTCAAGATTTTTAGCCAGTATCTCTTTTTGTTATTATTTTGTTTTATAAATAATAATCCCTTCACATTCACAGGGTTGTGGCCTCCACACAGTTTGAGCCGACTAGTGCCCGGGCAGCCTTTCCCTGTTTTGATGAACCTGACTTCAAAGCAAACTTTTCCATACGGATTCGCAGAGAAGCAAAGCATATTGCCCTCTCAAACATGCCTAAGGTGCTGTTACAATATCCATAGAACCTCTATTGATCATTCCTGCTGTTTTCTGACTAAAACCTGAATAAATCATAATGCGACAAGAACTATTAATCTGCTGTGTGAAGACCGTTTCTTCTGTTAATCCTACTTTCTTTTTTTTTTCTTTACTCCAGCTGAGAACATTAGAGCTGCCAGACGGCCTGTTTGAGGACCAGTTTGATGTGAGTGTAAAGATGAGCACATACCTGGTGGCCTTCATTGTCTCTGACTTTCTGTCTATCAGCAAGATGAGTCTGCATGGAGTCCAGGTTAGAAGATGATCCGTCTCATACCATTAAAACCACAGCGTTAATAACAAAGCCTTTAAGTACTGTAAGATCCCACCTCCATCATTTATTACTTTTTTTGACACTCCTCATTGCATTTTTTAATGTGAATTCAGATTTCAGTGTATGCTGTGCCAGAGAAGATCGACCAGGCAGAGTTTGCTCTGGATGCTGCAGTGAAGCTGCTCGACTTTTATGATGACTACTTTGACATTCCGTACCCTCTACCCAAACAGGGTTAGTTCCGTGTAGGCATTTCATCTACTACTTAAAATGCAAAGGACAGATTTCGGAGTTCACCATTTAAATAATCTGCTTTGTAGATCTTGCTGCTATCCCAGACTTCCAGTCTGGAGCAATGGAGAATTGGGGCCTGACCACCTACCGGGAATCAGCCCTTCTTTTTGACCCCCACAAGTCTTCTGCTTCTGACAAGCTGGGCATCACGATGATCATCGCTCATGAACTGGCCCATCAGGTGAACTTATGCCATCAATTAACTGTTTGTTTTTTTGTGTGTGTGTGTCATGGGATGTATTCTAGTACTTATTCTACTAAATGACATGTTGCTGTGGTTAATGAGTGAATTGTTCATTTTGTGTCTGTTCTTGTCAGTGGTTTGGTAACCTTGTGACCATGCAGTGGTGGAATGATCTGTGGCTGAATGAAGGTTTTGCCAAGTTCATGGAGTTTGTGTCTGTTAACATCACCAATCCTGAACTGCAAGTTGTAAGTTTTTGTAAAATTGGTGGCCCTTGCTGAAGGACTGTCATTTTATTTCCATACTCACTATTTTAAAAACACTCAGCATGAGTTGGATGATAGTCTGTGCTAATAAGAAGCCCAATCTTCTTTGTGCCACAGGAGGATTATTTCTTGGGGAAGTGTTTCGAGGCCATGGAGGTAGACTCCTTAAGCTCCTCTCACCCAGTGTCCACACCGGTGGAGAACCCTGCTCAGATACAGGAAATGTTTGATGATGTTTCCTATGACAAGGTGCATAATAAAACTTTGGAATGTTTTCTTTTTCTTGCTATTGAAACTCCATCAAAAGCTTCTTAAAATCATGTTACAATGGTGAATGTCATTTCAGGGGGCTTGTATTCTGAACATGCTGAGAGAGTTCCTGACCCCAGATGCCTTCAAACTGGGCATTGTGAGATACCTAAAACGCTACAGTTACCAGAATACGGTCAATAGTAACCTGTGGGAAAGTCTGACCAATGTGAGTACAAATGACATGTGTGATGCAGATGAATAAAACTCTGCAGTAAACTGTGTAGGTTTTCTTATAATTCATTAGGTGTGGTCACATTTACAGTTGTTCAGTAAATTTTCATGGGCAAAATCCAGTCATTTCAATAGGAATCCATGCAACTTAAGTTGGTTAAGCAAATTCGCCACATTGACCAACAGAAAGCTGCTTGTTTTATAAAAGACTTCTTTGTGAGCTGTGCTTCTTACTACACTATTGACAGTGGACCTTTTCAGGCTGCGAAATTTCACAGAAAGTTTGCTAATGTGACTGCAGCTTAAGAGTACCAGATCAAAATGTCTCATGGTGTAGTGAGTGTTTTCGGTGTCTCTCTTTGTTATAGGTGTGTGACTCTGATGGTCTGGATGAGGGCAGAATGAAGGGTGATGAGTCTTGCCGGCGCTCAGTCTCACACTCTGGAGCTTCTGTGAGTAAATCATTAAGCTGAACTCTCTTTACCCTGTTTTTAACTGGTGTTGTGATGTATTTCTGTGATATTGTATCTCTTAGAAATGGCACTCTGAGGATGAGCTGGATGTTAAGGCTATGATGGAGACATGGACATTGCAGGAGGGCTTTCCACTCATTACGGTGGAGGTCAGAGGTCGCGAAGTCAGACTAAGTCAAGAGCGTTACCTCAAGAGTGATGACCCCTCACAAACATCTAGGTTCATTATTAATATCAAAGATCTACATTTTCTTCTGAATCCTGTTTAACCTGAGTGATTTTATATTTTTATATGATTTATTTAGGGTTTATGCTGTTGAAAATGTGCTTGCAATTGAGATGTATTACCAGTCCAAATAAGATGGGCAGCAATGAATAATACTCAGCATGAATGAAAGTGAAAGTGACCCATACTCGGAATTAGTTCTCCGCATTTATCCCATCCTAAGTGCGCACGCACACAGCAGTGAACACACACTGTGTTCATTTTGGACACACACGCAGCCATTTTTGGAGAGCAGCTGGGGGTTCGGTGCCTTGCTCAAGGGCACCTCAGTCGTGGTATTGAAGGTGGGAGAGAGCGCTGTACATTCCTCTACCCAAACAGGGTTAGTTCCGTGTAGGCATTTCATCTACTACTTAAAATGCAAAGGACAGATTTCGGAGTTCACCATTTAAATAATCTGCTTTGTAGATCTTGCTGCTATCCCAGACTTCCAGTCTGGAGCAATGGAGAATTGGGGCCTGACCACCTACCGGGAATCAGCCCTTCTTTTTGACCCCCACAAGTCTTCTGCTTCTGACAAGCTGGGCATCACGATGATCATCGCTCATGAACTGGCCCATCAGGTGAACTTATGCCATCAATTAACTGTTTGTTTTTTTGTGTGTGTGTGTCATGGGATGTATTCTAGTACTTATTCTACTAAATGACATGTTGCTGTGGTTAATGAGTGAATTGTTCATTTTGTGTCTGTTCTTGTCAGTGGTTTGGTAACCTTGTGACCATGCAGTGGTGGAATGATCTGTGGCTGAATGAAGGTTTTGCCAAGTTCATGGAGTTTGTGTCTGTTAACATCACCAATCCTGAACTGCAAGTTGTAAGTTTTTGTAAAATTGGTGGCCCTTGCTGAAGGACTGTCATTTTATTTCCATACTCACTATTTTAAAAACACTCAGCATGAGTTGGATGATAGTCTGTGCTAATAAGAAGCCCAATCTTCTTTGTGCCACAGGAGGATTATTTCTTGGGGAAGTGTTTCGAGGCCATGGAGGTAGACTCCTTAAGCTCCTCTCACCCAGTGTCCACACCGGTGGAGAACCCTGCTCAGATACAGGAAATGTTTGATGATGTTTCCTATGACAAGGTGCATAATAAAACTTTGGAATGTTTTCTTTTTCTTGCTATTGAAACTCCATCAAAAGCTTCTTAAAATCATGTTACAATGGTGAATGTCATTTCAGGGGGCTTGTATTCTGAACATGCTGAGAGAGTTCCTGACCCCAGATGCCTTCAAACTGGGCATTGTGAGATACCTAAAACGCTACAGTTACCAGAATACGGTCAATAGTAACCTGTGGGAAAGTCTGACCAATGTGAGTACAAATGACATGTGTGATGCAGATGAATAAAACTCTGCAGTAAACTGTGTAGGTTTTCTTATAATTCATTAGGTGTGGTCACATTTACAGTTGTTCAGTAAATTTTCATGGGCAAAATCCAGTCATTTCAATAGGAATCCATGCAACTTAAGTTGGTTAAGCAAATTCGCCACATTGACCAACAGAAAGCTGCTTGTTTTATAAAAGACTTCTTTGTGAGCTGTGCTTCTTACTACACTATTGACAGTGGACCTTTTCAGGCTGCGAAATTTCACAGAAAGTTTGCTAATGTGACTGCAGCTTAAGAGTACCAGATCAAAATGTCTCATGATGTAGTGAGTGTTTTCGGTGTCTCTCTTTGTTATAGGTGTGTGACTCTGATGGTCTGGATGAGGGCAGAATGAAGGGTGATGAGTCTTGCCGGCGCTCAGTCTCACACTCTGGAGCTTCTGTGAGTAAATCATTAAGCTGAACTCTCTTTACCCTGTTTTTAACTGGTGTTGTGATGTATTTCTGTGATATTGTATCTCTTAGAAATGGCACTCTGAGGATGAGCTGGATGTTAAGGCTATGATGGAGACATGGACATTGCAGGAGGGCTTTCCACTCATTACGGTGGAGGTCAGAGGTCGCGAAGTCAGACTAAGTCAAGAGCGTTACCTCAAGAGTGATGACCCCTCACAAACATCTAGGTTCATTATTAATATCAAAGATCTACATTTTCTTCTGAATCCTGTTTAACCTGAGTGATTTTATATTTTTATATGATTTATTTAGGGTTTATGCTGTTGAAAATGTGCTTGCAATTGAGATGTATTACCAGTCCAAATAAGATGGGCAGCAATGAATAATACTCAGCATGAATGAAAGTGAAAGTGACCCATACTCGGAATTAGTTCTCCGCATTTATCCCATCCTAAGTGCGCACGCACACAGCAGTGAACACACACTGTGTTCATTTTGGACACACACGCAGCCATTTTTGGAGAGCAGCTGGGGGTTCGGTGCCTTGCTCAAGGGCACCTCAGTCGTGGTATTGAAGGTGGGAGAGAGCGCTGTACATTCACTCCCCCCACCTACAATCCCTTCCGGTACAAGACTCGAACCCACAACCTTGGGTTATGAGTCCGACTCTCTATCCATTAGGCCATGACTTCCCCCAAATGAATGAGATGAGTCTCTCAATTCATTTAAAAAAATTATATCCACAGAGATAAATAATTTCCAAAATGAAATCGCTCACAGTAACAAACGCCTCTGTCGTACAGGAGATGCATTGACACATTGCCAGTGGTCACTGTCACTCATGTTACCACAAATCGTGAACTCTGAAAAGGAATAACGTCCATTAGTTTGTCACAGCAAGTCGTGCTGTGTGTACATGGGACTTTATAAAGATTTATTGAATTACTTTCAGACTCTTATTTTTCCTTTTTAACGCTTGTTTGTGAGTTTGGCTAAGTCTTTAATTCTTGATCTTTTGCCGCTTACAGCTTTCTGTGGCACGTTCCATTGACTTACATTACCAGCGGCTCAACAACAGTGCAACGCTTCCTGCTTAAGACCAAAACAGGTATTTGTTTTAATAGAATTTTCTAGTAATATTATGAAGTTTGTTCTAATAGTATTATATAAATTGTTTTCATAATAATTTAATGACATTCATTTTCAAGTTTTTAAAAAGTCAAATGTTTAGAGAGAGATGACTTTACATCTCTAAACAACACAAGGTCTGAAGCACTGTAGCACTGATTTCTAACAGCTTTGTTGATTATGTCATGATAGACGTGCTGTATCTGCCAGAGGAGGTGGACTGGATCAAGTTTAATGTGGACATGAGTGGATATTACATTGTGCACTATGAGGGTTCTGGCTGGGATGACCTCATCACGTTGCTTAAACACAATCACACGGCGCTCAGCAGCAATGACCGGGCCAGCCTCATCAACAACGCCTTCCAGCTGGTCAGGTCAGTCCTCAGTCATCTGCGCATGTGCTCTTATTAGTCAGTGAGAAGAAAATGTATCAAGAGTCAGACAAGTAAAGTACTGCAGATCATTCCATAAAAGTGTTGTCAAGTTATCCATGTGTTCTGGGCAGTGTTGGGAAGCTTCCCCTGGATAAGGCTTTAGACCTGACCCTGTATCTAAGCAAAGAGACTGAGATTATGCCAGTGACACAGGGCTTCAGTGAGCTTGTGCCTCTGTACAAACTGATGGAGAAGAGAGACATGGTGGAGCTGGAGAATCAGATGAAGGTCAGTGAGTGAGCATTCATATTTCACCTCCTAGCTTGTGGATTCATTCATTCAGGCTTGAAATCAGCCTCTTTTCAGTCTGTGCAATTCTGATAATAAAACTAAAATAGCTTAATAACATTTAATAATACATATTTTAAACATACAGTAAAAACGGTAATATTGTGAACTATTGTTATAATTTACAATAACTGATTTCTCTTTTAATACATTTAATATAATGCATTTCTGTGATTGTAAAGCTGAATTTTCAGCAGCCGTTACTCCAGTCTTCAGTGTCCCATGATCCTTCAGAAATCATTCTAATATACTGATTTGGTGCACGTGAAATATTGGAAATGTGTTGTTTTAAAAAGGCCTTGGGCCTCATTTATAAAATGTGCGTACGCACAGATTTGATCGTAGAGTGTGCGTATGCAAAAATCCACGGCAACGTTCATATTTATAAAAACGGTCTTTGACGTGGAAAAGAACTTAGCGCCACGTCAGGGTCTGAGCAGACATATGCACTTTTGTTTGCCCGAGTGCTGCAGGTTTTTGGAAATATAAGCCCTTATTGCCACTTGTAAAAGATTTGGACTGTCACGTGCTCTTTTATAAGCCAAGGACATTAATTAGACATTGTTTACAGGGCGGAGATCTGAAACTGTTCAGCTGCGCACAATTTCAAAATCATTGCAATTTATAGATTTCACATCTAAAAGAGAGGCGTACGCACGTTTTCTGTGCGTACGTTCGTTCTATGAATCACACGTACGCACTTTGAGAAATGATCGTAAAATCAAATTTAGGATTCTTTCTACGCAGTATTTTATAAATGAGGCCCCTTGTTGGTTGGTTAATTAAAAAAAACTGACCAACAAGGGCTTTCATCTTTCTTTCTTTTTCTTTGCTTGTTTGTTTTTAAAAGTTTATCAACTGTTTATCGTGATTATGTAAAGCATATTAAATTATCATTGTGAATGAAATGAGTTGTATATTGTATAAATAAACTGGCCATGCCTTCTTCCCTGCTGTAGATGTGTAACAAATGTTGATTGTCTCGCTGTGGTCCAGGGCTACATACTGCAGCTGTTCAGGAAGCTCATAGACCAGCAGTCGTGGACTGATGATGGCTCTGTGTCTCAGAGGATGCTGCGCAGCTACCTCCTCATGTTTGGCTGTGTGCGGGGTCATCCTCCCTGTGTCAGCACCGCTACACACCTCTTCAACCAGTGGAGGGACTCCGATGGCAATATGAGGTTAGTGCTCATCGTCCATTTCTGAAATTTCTTTTTAAACTGTTACCATTAAGATGAAAACTTTGGAAAAGTAACAGCATGTTTTCTTTTTCCTCTCTAAATGAATGAAACAGTCAAGAGAAATGAATTATTTCTGACCTTTTTTGTTTTTCCATCTTCTAGTCTTCCCAATGACGTGACTATGGCTGTGTTTTCTGTTGGCGCCCGGACTGAGGATGGCTGGGAGTTCCTGTTTGAGAAGTACAAGGAGTCTATGTATGTCTCGATGAAGAACAGGATAAAGATGGCCCTCACGACCAGCCCTCTCGATCACAAGCTAAAATGGTGAGACATTCAGACAAACATCAGTTTAAGAAAATAAGTTTAATCACTAATGTCATCTTTCCTTTGTGTCAGGATGATAGAGCAGAGTCTGGTGGGAGAGGTGATGAAGACTCAGGATCTTCCATATGTTGTGACTTCAGTCAGTAAAAATCCTAAGGCCTACAAACACGCATGGGACTTTTTAAAAGCTAACTGGGACGCTCTAATAAAGAAGTGAGATGCTGATTTAATTAGACGCACAGTAGTGGTACGTTGTGAGCCCTTTAATGACTACAGACTTTTGTTTATAGGTTTGATCTTGGCTCACACTCTATAGCGCACATGGTAGTAGGAGTGACCAACCAGTATTCCACCAGAGAAATGCTAGCTGAGGTAGGTATTTATTTTTAGCCAAACAATTTATTGGGAGCTTTCATCAGTTGGTCTAGACCAAAAACATCTGATCCTGTAATCGGAAAACGTTATTATATTACAATAGAGCGTGTTTCTCTGCCCCGTCAGGTTCGTCGTTTCTTCAGTTCCTTGCGGGCTGAGACTGGAGCAGAACTGAGATGTATTCTGCAAGCCTTGGAGAACATTGAAGAGAACATTCGCTGGATGGACAAGAACCTCCCCCTACTGAAGGCCTGGCTGCACAGACAGTATGACCAGCACAAAAATACAGAGCTGTGAAGCACTTGTACTGTAAAAGTCATGGCTGTACACATTTTATTTTGCCATTTAAAATGATGCAAGAATGTTGATAAGAACATTGATGTGCTAAAGTGTGTGAAATAACTGGTTCTGAATTTGTGAATATGGGATGAATATTTTTGAATAGCTGTACCGTTTCTTATAAATGTATGATTTAACATTTTCGTCTGTCTCCAACCTTTAGTATTGAAATTAAATTAAGGATTTGATTACTTTTGTAATATCTTTTTTAGCAATCAATTATACAATTTGCAAAAACAAGCCATGCAAGTCAGTACAGTTTTGAAGGAAAAGTTTTAATTTGTTTAAACAGTTAATCTAAACAACTAGTTATGCACAAGTTTGTTTTTGAGTCATTGAGTACAGGCGAGTACATTAACATGGCATGTAGGGTGCAAAATATAGGAACAGCTGTCATGTTCACTCTATTACAATGCCATGGCTTTAATAGAAATAGGACACTGGAAACCAGCCAAAAAAATAATAATTCTGTTGCTGGTTTCATTTGGTCCAGTGAGATGCTTCTCCCCATAGGGGGCGCCCTTTTATACAGTTACAGCTCCAGCACAACAATGATGTAAGAAAGCCAAAGTAACATGATTCCAGAGAACTGATAAGCATTGGCTTTCATTACTTCAACCCTCAATAATCAGTGAGAATCTAAATCGGTGGTTGATGACTTCTTTTTTTTTTCTAAAATCTCAGTTTCTACTTGTACTGAAGTTCACAGATGTCTTGTAGTCAGGCCATCTTGCATCAGGATGTCCTGTCAGTCTGCATACAGCCAGGACAGCAGTGCAGTGTGTCATGTATGAAGAGATCACACTCCACGCAGAACACTTTTTTACATGCTAGGCAAGTAAATACCTGCAGAGAGGAGAAAACAAAGAGGTTAAATGCCATTTTAAACAAGCCATTCAAAAGATTTTGAATTGGAAAACCTACACTTTTGTCTTTCAACTCTCCTTGGCAGGCCTCACAGAACCTGAAAAGGCATAGATTAACACTATTAAATAGGCTGAAATGAGACAGACAGAGGAGTTTTCACAGAGTGAGTGTGAAGCTCACCTCTCCCCCTCATACTCCTCCAGTGGGGTTTCCTGGAAGGCCTCCAGGGGGAAGAGGTGATGGAAGGAACGGGCCAGGTGAGGAGCGGAAACTAAAGTCAGACCTATACCAGAGAGAAGACACAGACTATGAGAACTGTAAACATCAATGCTCTCTGAAAATGAGTGTAAAGATTGAAGAACAGGGACAGGCTGAGCACATACCACACACTTTACACTCCACTGGCAGCTCGGTGTATTTGGCTCTACACTGTGGGCAGTAGTAGCCACCAAGAGTGAGTCCTGGCTCACCAGTGCTGTCTAGGTGCCTAAATATATTAGAAAATGAACTATAATTAATATTATTTCAAATTATAAATAATAGAATTATGCAATAAAGATACCATTCAAAAGTGTGGGGTCAGTAAGATTTTTTTAAAGTCCCCCTGTAGTCAAATATTTGATCTCTTAAAACTTATCTTTGATCATAAAAATTACATATTGAAATGTTTTTTCTTGTGAAAATAATTTTCTCATTCCTTAAAATAGCTTGAATGCAACTCTACACCCTTGCCTCATTTACTATACGCTGATCTATGAATATGCAAATTAGTCCAGCCTCCCCTCAGTCTCACACCAGCCAGCGCCTCCTGATCCACTGAACTGTAGTAAACGCAAAACAATGGCATACACGTATAATGACTGATAAAACTGTCTTTTTACTAGCAGACAACTACAGTGAATACTGTAACATTCGTTAAAGTTACTTACTTGACGATGTTGTGTCCTAAAATGCCTTGACTCGAATACAGCCATTTGTGATTCTTAGTGATTCGCCCGTGAGCATACGCATGTGAAGTGCAGACGCTGACGCGAGAGAAGTGGGTCTGACTCCGGGCTACTTTTACACTGTTGCCACAGGTTATAATGCAAGTTAGTGGTTCTAAATTCACATTAAACCACAGCTTCATGGGTTTTTTGCTTTAATTTATTTTTGGTTTTGTGCAAGTATTTGGTATATTTTGCATGCTAGTGATAGGAATCGATCCCTTGATGTGATTGGTTATTGGTTTGTGACGTAGCAAACCGAGGGCTGTTTCAAACCGTATTTCTGGGTCAGCCTTTGGGAAACTACAGTTTTAAGGAGAAAATACTCAGCAATGGTGTTGATTAATAGATTGGCACATGGTTTGTCTAAAGGCATATTAAAAACACCATAAAAAAACTTGATTTTCACTACAGGGGGACTTTAATTAATACTTGAATTCAGCAAGGATGCATTAAATTGATCCAAAGACACAGTAAAGATATTTATGATGTTACAAAATATATTTCAAGTGAATGCTTTTTTAAAAAAAAACTGTATTCTACAAAAAAAAAGTATTTAATAATGTATCAGAGTTTCCACAAAAATATTAAGCAGAAAAACAATTTTTAACGTCAATAACTAAGTATTCTTTCCTGAGCACCAAATCAGCATATTAAAATGATTTCTGAAGGATCATGTGACACTAAAGACTGGAGCTTTGCCACTGCAAGAATAAATTACATTTTAAAATATATTCAAATAGAAATACATTTTAAATTGCTTTAATATTTCATAATATAACTTGTTACTGTATTTTTGATCAAATAATTGCAGCCTTGGTGAGCGTAAGAGACTTCTTTCAAAAACATAAAAACTTTTTTTTTTAAATCTGACTGACCCCAAACTTTTAAACAGTAGTGTAATATATATGTATATATTACCTATATAGTGTATAATGGTAGTGTAAATTATATTAAATTTTTAGATTTAATATTATTAAACTGTGGTAAAGAGCATAAGATTTAAACTGTACTCACGACATGCTGAACGAGGGTTTGGCATCCTGATCAGACATGGAGGCTATGACATGCTGAGGGAAACCTGAGCAAATTATTATGCACAATAGAGATATTGTAAAAGATCACATATGAAAAATTGTAGCTTACACTAATACAACATTTCCCAGACATAAATCAGGACTAATCCTGGACTGCTTCACATTTACAGTGCAGTGAAGACATAAAAAACACACAAATTAAAATGACAAACAGCAGAGCATTCACAGTTCTACATATTTCTTCAATTCTTTGGCTAATTTTTGACTAAGCTTTCAGCTACTAGTAATAGGTGTTGTACTTTCAACATTTTATCTTATTTAAATTGTGTAAATGTGGTGAAAATGACTGTGTGATTACCCATGCGAATGAGGGAGCACTCTGAGGAGGAGCTGGCAGGAGGCGGCTTCACATGCAGCATCAGCAGCTCTTTAAAATGACTCTCATCCAATATTACATTGTAGGATCCTATTGGGCCCAACATAATTAGAAAACACAAGTAAAAAAACTATGTAACCATGTTAAGATAAGACTACCAACCTCCAGTTTCTCTTGTGAGAATGGTGCACACTCGAACTTCTGCTGACAGGCCTATCACAGACACTCTAATCTTCAAAGCATTCAGAGTCTGTTGATATATTAAAACATGATCACAAAGAAATCAATGTTCATCAAACCTTACTAACCCTTACAGTATGCAGCCATTAGCATTATTCAAACTCACTTTGATAAGCTCATAGATGTTGGCTGGGTCACAGGTAGTAAGACTGCTGAAAATAACGAGGATCTCTTTGCTTGTATGAGCAGGCATGTGTCTGCATGAAAATAGAAATATGGTTATTGCAGTAAAGGGTTATGTAGACACTGAAGACAATGTGTATATGGTGAGTACAAGTCCAGTACTACAACCAAACTGTAAGCAACACTGTTGCATTTCAGTTCCAGATGGAAGCGCCACACACTGACTTGTGCCTTACTTGAGAGTCTGCATAGCCACGTTGAGAGAGTTGTAGAGAGACGGTTCACCAACACATGTGGAGTCCACAGCTTTCTTCAGAGCTGCTAAATGCTTCTTAGGGTTCCCTGGTAAGAGTAAAATACCGGTAATGTCAAGTGATGATTATGATAAAGAAAACTTCTCAAAACATGCAAACATAATACTAATGCATCAACCTGCAAGATCAGTGAGCTTCTCCGCCCTCTTGTTCTTGGTGGTAATGATCCCTATCTGTGACAATATGGTACTGTTAACAGAAGCTGCACACATTGTAAACACTCACAGACAGATACAGAGTCGAGTGCATTACCTGACTGATTGGATTCTGGTCAAAGTATTCCTCCACAAAAAACTCCATCAGCTAAAGAATGCAAAAGGAAAGATCAGTTTTGACAGATTTCATACAATGTTAGGCTTCCATACGCCACTATAGATGCAGTGCTACTAACCTTTAAGGTTGAGGTCAGCCTATTGGGCCTCAGGTCCTGATCTTCCATTGATCTAGATGAGTCAATGATCACAAAGAGATGCCGCATCTAGTTTGGTGGGAATTATATGCATGGTTATGATCAGCCTCCAATAACAAAAAATTATGCTATAACTATGGAGGACAGTAAAATGCATCTTACCATCCCAAGCCGAACTTGTCCATGACCCTCAGACACTCTGTAAGGTGACAGAGAGACTGCAAGTGAATATCAAAGCAATATACAATCAGCTCAAACTGATTTTTATATTTTGCATTTGAGCGCTGTACCTTTTCCTCTTTGCTTGGAAAAGAATGTCCTCCACAGAAGCTTTAAGAGATCCCGATTCATCCTCCTTCAGCACCTCCCTAAGAGAGACACATGTCAACAGCTCATTATAGCGTATGTGTTCTCATGTACTTTAGTAAATATTAGTGGCTGACAGTCTTGTGATGCCCCTTATTGTTTACTACTTGCCATAGTTACATAATATGCCATAGTTCAAGCTCTTGGACCTTACGATTATTTGGAATGACGGTATAAATAACATTTTGTAAAAATATATTTTATTAACAATAACCACTTTTTGGTGGCAATCTGACGTAAAAAAAAAGCATTGAACATAATATTTTTAAAGTAAGCATAAAGCTCAACTTCTCACCATGTTCGTTCGTATCCTCCTTCCCAGCGTTTTGCTCTCTCTGGTTCTTCATCCATGATTTATAATTTTAACAGACTGTAAGCTTTCTTTATGTTATACAGTTAACGTTATTCCATTCTTCAGAAGGGTTTGTACTCTCAGATGTTTCAACAGATTTATGCATTCGGTCTCATCACAGAGACTCGTATAGTTTTTCAAACCTTATAACATCAAACACAGGAAAATGTCTATAAACTCGATTTTTGAAATAACGACACATTAATATGTAACTTGCTCAGCGCACTATAAAAAACAACCCAATTCAACTGTTATTTACTTTCGTGCAACCCTTGTCCGTCGATTCGTAATGTCCCACCGGTACAAAATGCGAACAATAGTAGTTCCGAGTTATTGGAGGGCCGACGTGTTCCCTATATGGATCCATAAAACATAAGTTTATTATTATCTTTTAGTTGCCCACTTTAATTAATTTAATTAACTAATTTAAATGAATACAAACAAAGACGTTTATAAATTGAATAGCTTTATTTTACTATGTACACAAATACAAGCAGAAAATATATACTGTACATTCAACACAATTAGCCTGCCACATTACACATTTTTAGCGATTTGATATAATTGTCTGAAAGAGCAAAATTATATAACTGATATAATTGTAACTGAACTCACACCCATTCTATAAGTGTTTAATTAAATAAAAAAACAACAGAATAGATTGCTATTCCGGTGACAGATTAATCAAGAAGTTTAAAAAAATGAAGGTAAAATAAAAAGAACAGAAAATCCAGTAAGACATCATTATAACAAACAACATTAGAATCTCTTTGCTTGAAGATCCCTAAAACTACAACAAAAGGTGGTCACAGTCTTGTTCATTTTAAGCAGTGTGGGCAAGTTACTCAAAGAATGTAATTTATTACTCATTACTAGTTACTCATTTCAAATGTAATATTGTTACTTTACTTATTACGTTCTGGCAACAGTAATTAGTTACACTACTAGTTACATTACTTTTTCTTCACGCCCCACAGAAGTTGTAACTGTATCTTCCACATAAAATTCTAGTGATTGATATTGACATTCAAGTAGAAGTGTTGTATTAATCTCATTAATTGTCATGTGTAGCTTGAAGCTAATTGTCATTTCTCCGTTACCCATATACAATTATATTTCATCAAGTTTGTAAGAAACTTTAATTATAGATATATAATGTATATAATATAATGTACCACATGCTGATCAGAGGGATGTGGGTGGGATGTAATGCCAGAGTAAAGTAAAGCTACAACTTTCACAAAAGTGCTCATGATCATCTTTTTTCCTGACAACATCAATATAATGTAATATTACTATCTGCTGAATGTAAGCTTTTCCATATTCCAAGCTCGCCTGCTGCACTGGGGACATCACATGTATGTGCGAGTCATGAAAATTATGAAAATAAATCAAGGAGTTATTTGATTGTTGGGTTTTAAATCAGCAGGGTTGAGGCATCAAAAGTAACTAAGCTGCTTTATGGATGGTAACTGTAATATTATTACTGAAATCTTATTAGTAATTAGTTACACTACTAGTTACTGCAAAAAGTAATATTATTACAGTAACTAAGTTACTAGTTACTGCCCAACACTGTTTTTAAGATATACACTAACTTTGACTTGACTAAATGTCTGCGGCAAAAGATAAAAGGTTAAAAGGAGACTTCATTTAGCTTTAAAAAGTAAAACAAAATACTTCATTGATACCACAATATTTTGATCAAGCTTAGTTTGGCTCAAAAGCAAAACTCTTGTCATACAGCAGCCATACAGTTCTTGATAATAATACAGTGATGCAAATGTTTAATACAGAAATACAGATACAGTAAAACTCCTGAAAAAAAACATCATGTGACATAATATACCCTCCTGAGTTTCCATTGCCAGGTCTTATTGTCTGTGGTCATAGTCGCTGACTCTTCTTTTGATCAAGGACAGTTTTGTCTTGAGCTGTTTACACCTTTTCTTTTTCATCTGATAGTCTGCAGACTGTGAGAAAGGAAACAGGTCAGCATTTACCTTTGTATCATACACCTATATCATTTTTTTCTACTATAAACAGTTATTTTTAACAGCTGTGACAAATTATGCAATTCATGATATTCTAGTCTGAATTTTTTTTAAAGATGACACAAAGAGTTTACCTTCTTTAAACTTTTGAGCCTGTTGTATACATCCATGGCATCCTTTTTAGGGAATAAAAACGAGTAATATATATTAATGTAACATATATTTTAACAATAATAATTTATCAACTGGATATATACCAACAGATAGAGACATAATATTAAATGAATGCTTAATATCATTAAAGTGCTTTTTTTTATGTGGAAGAGATACTGTGAAAACCAGAGATTAAGTGACCTTACACCACCCATAACCTTAAGCATGTGAATTATTGTGACAGACAGAGCTCCGCATATTAAGAGTCAGAAGATGGAAAGAGATCCAACCTTTAGAAGAACAGTTTTCACTTTATAGATAGCATACCATGAACTGTGGGCTGCCTTCCTGTGAGCTGTCCAGCTCTCGATCTGCTTCTGCCAAGCCCTGATTAATATCATCTAGCTCAGCCTGAAGACGCTTGTACTCCATGTGGTCTCTGTCAAACTCTCTCTTGTACCCAAGCCTCTCCTGCTCATTAATGACGGGAGGATACTCACTGAGAGCATGGCAGCACAGAATAGAGGTAAAGGGAATATATGACAAGAGTGATACCGATTACATAAAGTCACAGATGCTGAGTTTTTTTTTTTTTAAAACGTGCTCCAATACTACCAGCTATAAGACTTTCCTCACCTTTCATAGCCAGTGTCCAGCTCATCTCCAGACTCTCCAGTGTCATAGTCTCTCAGTTTGCCCTTCATTCCATTTAAAGAGCTCGTCAAGTCAGAACCACTTTAGATAAAAAAATAAATAACACCAATAGAAATTTTGTTAACTTGGGTGTGATATTTTTACAATTTTAATTGTAACTGACAGAGTAAGAATAGCTTTCTGATTACAATAGTTTCAGTCAGTTCACATAATCAGTTTGTGAAACTGGTTATTCGTGTTCATGACAAAACAAAATCCACCAGGTCCTATTCATACAGAGACAAGATTTCCTGGATTCCTTCATTCCGTGGCACATAGTCTAGTGACTAATATTGAGCAGGCCAATCATTTTGAGCCAGTCTGTGCTTGCTTGGCTGATTAACAAAAGTGTTCATTCTGCTTACGGCGTGACTTTGTGTACAATTTTAATTTGCTATTATTAAATTGCATGCAGATGTTATTATTTTAACCATTATAAAAAAATTTAATAAAAAAAAAAGAGTCAACCACTACTAATATAGTTCATAATATCTATAATAACCAAGCATATTCTAAAACAGCAAAGCCCTATCAATGCAAAATCACTGAACAAAGTATACAGAAATATGAAAATATTTTTCTACGCATTTGTTTTTGCAACAAAATTAAAAGTACTGAGATGACCTACCTTGGAAGGTAAATTGGTTTCTGGCTGTGAACCTTTGGCTGTGCAACACTGATTTGGTGATTGTGGTCATTGACAAAAGCCTCTGGATCTCCAGACACATTATTTACCTGAAGAAAAACAAAGAACGTCATATCTAGACATTTTGTATAAAATAAATAAATAAATAACTTTACTGTAGGCAATTCCACATTCCATTTTTACAGTTTGGAAACATAATGTGCATTTAATAATAAGCTGATGCACTGAAACCTGTTTACTCTGGGTACAAGTCCTGTTTGTAGCCAACTTAACACTGAATCAAAAGGTGTTTTTCCAGAGTGTTTTTTATAATACCCCACCCCTCCATACAGCCTCAAAATATTTTCACCGATCATGTGGTAGTCTGTAAGTGTTGTTGCAGGCCTCTTTTACTTTAGCTTCTCTGTTTCCCCAACGCACTCAGCCTTCTTTTTGTATAGTAAATAGTCTGGACAAACATTAAAGCCAGGCAAAACCGGTTCCACCACTTCCACAAATACCATCATGACATAAAGGACAAAACTACCACTGCTTACATGTTGAATTGTGAAAGAACAAAGCCAGTGGAGTGACCTAATAACACTAGAACATGCTAATGTTTTTTTGGATCTAACAATTCCCACCCACCATTTCATAAACTTAAGTCACTATCAAGTGTTCCATGTGTTTCATCATGGAATTTTGTATCATAATCATGCTTCCAATCAAGTGAAAGTGCCTAAGAGGACACACCCAGAAACTAGACATAAAAACACCTCTTCATAGAAATCTTTCTGAAACTTCTCTTCATGGAAGAGTCTTAATTGCAATGGTCTAGACCAGTGGTTCCCAACCCGGGGGTCGCGACCCCCACTAGGGGTCGCTAATAATTTTCGAGGGGTCGCCAAGTGCAGTCATTTAAAAAAAAAAATAATAATAATATATATATATATTTCATTTATAACAGCACAATAAATATTTAAATTCTAAATATATATAAAAAAAAATCATTTATGGAAAGAGAAGAAATTCTCTTAACGTCGAGAGTTTTTTGCAGCGTATCGCGAGAGTGGGAACGTACGGACGTAACTTTAAAAAAAGACGCAGCAAAGAGAAAATGGCAAAGCGCCAGGGAGAAGATAAAAATGAATGCGCTAAAAAGAAAACAAGGACTTATTTGGACAGTTATCTTGAATTCGGTTTCATTGAAGCAATGGACAAGGTGAGAATTGAGTGTGTAATCTGTGGTGAGAGACTAGCGAATGAAAGCATGAAGCCCTGCAAATTAAGAAGACATCAGAGCACCAAACACCCACAGACGGTTAGTAAACCCAGAGAATTTTTCCTAAGGAAAAAAGAAGTTGTTATGTCAAATAGACCCCAGAACATTAGAGATGCTTTGACTAGAGCTGGAAATGAAAATAGGCAGGCGAACGTTGCATCCTTTGAGTGCGCTTTCCTAATTGCCCAATCAAAAAAGCCACACACCATCGGGGAAACTCTGCTCAAACCCGCATGTGTGAAAATGGCAGAAATAATGTGCGGGGCACAGGTGGCTTCGAAACTAAAAGCTGTACCTCTGTCCAATAATACAATAAAAGACAGAATCGACAGAATGGCGAATGATGTTGAGAACACGTTGGTTGAAAAGTTAAAGATGCACCCATTTTCTATCCAACTTGACGAAACGTCTACTGTGGCAGATGAAGCAGTCCTCATTGCATATGTGCAGTACACTGAAGACGGCGAAATAAAACAGGACATACTTTTGTCAACTAATTTGTCTACAACAACACGAGGAGAAGATATTTTCCACGTTATTGACACGTACTTCACCAAGCATCACATTCCCTATAATAATTTAGTCGCATGCTGCACAGATGGAGCTGCTTCAATGATGGGAAAACATAAGGGCTTCAATACACGTTTGAAGGAAAAGGCTCCCCACTGTCTTGTGTTTCACTGGATGATACACCGTCAAGCCCTGGCCAGCAAACACCTCTCTGATGAACTTAAGCTGACGAACTTAATGAAATGCTGAAGACAGTTGTAAAGATCGTTAACTTTATTAAAGCCCGTCCGGTAAACAAGCGAATCTTTGCGGAGCTGTGTGAAGATGAGGTGCATCAGACACTCCTCCTTCATACCGAAGTGCGCTGGCTATCAAGAGGCCAAGTGTTGGTTCGTTTTATTGAACTGAAAGAAAAAATAAAGGAGTTCCTGAAACTGAACAACGAGAAACTGTTTGACGAAATTACAGATGAATTTCTTATCAGAACATCATACCTGGCGGATATTTTCAGCCTCTATAATGAAACAAACAAGCGCATGCAGAGCGCGGATGCAAATGTGCTGGAATTTTTAGCTCTCTGGTAACCATCAAAACGAAGGCACGCAACAAGCTGGAAGTGCACAATGACTTTCGTCTGGCTGTCACGAAAATCATGCCTAATATCCAATCTCTAGCCCTAGATATGCAGGCCCAGAGTTCACATTAAATAGCCTTTAACAATTAAATAAGGACTTAATTCAATCAGGACCACAAGAAAAGTCATGAAAAAACACGCATAACTTAAAATGTTAAAATAGTTATTATGCAATGGTTATTGTTATGTTTTAATTGTATGTATGTTTTTAGAATATAAAACTAAAAAAAACACAATAATACATTAATTATCTGATTAAATTATATTCATGTTAATAGATTTTAATTTGCTCCTGTTTGTTCATCAGTTAAAAAGCAGAGCCTGCCTGAAAAGTCTGTTCTTGTGAACCCTTGCATGTTGTTACAGGTTTTTAAGGTAATAAGTGAAATCGATAGACATAGGGGTCACTAAAAATTGTCAGTGTTAAAATAGGGGTCTCGTGAAAAAAAGGTTGGGAACCACTGCTCTAGACCAATGATACTGCTAAAAACAGTGGACCAATTATAGGCACCACGTAGCAACTCTTGAAAATAAAACAACATGCATCAAGAAGCATTCTAGGGTATAAATATGTAGTAGTAGAAGTACAACCTTAGTGCTACAAACAGTATTAAATTTCATGACCTCATAAATCCATGCATTGTACTGAATGAAGAAAACGAATGAAGAACTAACATGAACAGGAAATGAAACTTATCTTTTGAGGAATTTGCTAGTGAAAATTCTTACCCATTCTCCGATGCCTTGAGACGTGAGGCCGTC